TTGCTTTTTGGAATTTATATATTTTTAAAATATTTTCAAGCCGTGGATCCTTGAATGTAAGGATAATGAATCCATGGATATGTAGTGGCGACTGTATATAGCTGCTGTGTGTTCCAGAACTAGCAAGAGATGTATCCTAAATCCATTTTTGAGATTCTTATGACCTTCATGGAATGGAATGCCAGCACTGTTGTATAGATTGCTTGACCCTTGGCTTAGTGACTAAGGTCCTGAATGATCTAGAATTCATTGCCAAAATTTGATGTATGCAAATACATGAACTTGACATCTGAACAAAAATTAAGAGATTTCAAGTGTAATTCCTTCTCTGACATGGCGTTCTTGGCAGATTAGTGGACCCTGTCCTTCTGCAGCGAATCCAGAAGGGAGGCCCTTCTCTTGGGTCTGTCATCCTCAAAATCAGGGGTCAGCAACCTATGGCCCGCGGGCCAGGGCCGGCCTCCTGAGGCCTTTGGACCGGGCCCCACCAATGCCGCGCACGTTGCCGCCATGACTCATTTGCGCATGTGCAGTACCCCTGCATATGCACGAACGTGTTGCAGCCACCATTTTGTTTTCCAGAATGGCGGCCGCAACTCGTTCGCGCATGCGCAGTACTGGGGTAGGGAGTTACTGAATGGTTGGTATATTTTCTTTGATGTATGTTAAATAAGTTTTAGTTATATTATTTCGGTATGTGAAATTATTTTTGTTTTTTTTTTATTGTGAGCTGCTTGTATGTAAATTATGTTCAAATTTGTGATTCTTAATTGGGTTTTAACTGGAAATCTTCATTTGTTCTTGCTGTGGGGTGCTCCGAATACCCTCTTTGGTAAGATGTAGATCCAATAAATAACTAAAAAAAATATTTCTACAATATTGAAAACCTTCAGCTTTTGTATGCTAACACATTCCAAAGCAGAGCTGTACTCTATAGAACTAAGTACAATGGAAAACAATTCTGAACATGTCTCTTCATGTAGCGGTCACTGGGGACACAGTTTGGTGGGGCCTTATGGATCAGAGAACACTTCAGAAATTTCATGGCCATCTTTTGTAGAAACCTCCATGTTTTTCTTTTCAACTTTGTGCCTCTGTGCCCTTTCTTGTCAGTGTTCAAAAGCCCTTGGTCAGGAAATGGAGGTGCTATTGAGAATCAAGCTTCTCATGCAGAGAAATGTCAAGCAAAGTAGACAGTTACTCATAAACCTATTCTGTTCTTGTAGCAGTGGAGAATCATAAAAAGACTGATCGCTTTTGAAATAAAAAGGTACAACATTCTGAAAGTGCACCTGATGAGAGGAGCTTCTCACAATACAGCGTGGCACTCGTTAAATTTCTGTATCGCTGTCATCTCGTCTGTTTTTAAGCTTCACCTTGTTGGAAAGGTGCATGGTGAATAGTTAAACCAGCTTGTATATAGCTTTTTGGAGACTTTTTAAAAAATGTATCTTTCTTCACAGAAAGCTTTGGGGTTTTGTCCATGTTAAAAGATGTGCTTAAACTACTTAAGATAGGACTAACATTTTTAGAAATACCAAAAATGCACAAAAATTCAGCTAAAGACTATACTGTGGCTATGTAGCAGATGATACTCCTATTCCTAGCCTATTCCTGTCTTCTCATGTTCACACTCCTTTGGTTTATGGAAAGTGCGTAGTTACTTATCGCACACAGGTTTTTTAAATTTTAAAATAAATCTTTTTGCTCACATTCCTAAGTAAAGTTTAGGATAAGAAAACAAACCAAGTTACATGTATAATTCCTGTCAGATTAAGGACCAGAATGATCTATAATTTCAGTCACTTAAACAAAGAGTGATTGATTTCAGATCATTTAAAAATACTTTGCAAGGACAAAAGTCAAGAAAAGTGAACACACCCCATCAGTATTCATTTACATGGCTAGCCTGGGTTCAGATTTAGGTGGATGTTCTTGACAGTCTTCTCTTTTTCCCAGGGCATCCCTCCACCATAAATACTACATAAATGCTACATGGAACTGTGCCCTGATGACGCAGTGGTTAAAAGCGTGTACTGCAGCCACTCACGCACAAACCATAAGGTTGTGAGTTTAATACCAGCCAGGGGCTCAGGCTCAACTCAGGCTTGCATCCTTCCGAGGTCGCTAAAATGAGTACCCAACTGTTGGGGGCAGTTAGCTTACACATTGTAAACCGCTTAAGGAGTGCTTAAATGTACTGATAAGCGGTATAGAAATGTACTTGCTGTTGCTATTGCTATTGCTATTGCTAGAAACTGCCTGATCCTCACTTTCCTCGTGTTCTGCA